CCCTTGACCGGAATCGAACCTGGGACCTTTCATTCCGCAGATCAATGCTCTATCCACTGGGCTAAACTGGTTTCGGCTGAAGGAGTCTTTCTTCCCTGACATTCCCAGTATGGCCCCCCACCACCCGCCAGGCCCCATGGCACCCACTCCCCCCAGCTCCATCACTGTGAAGTGAAACCACCACTTCTCTCCATCTTCCTCCAGCCCCAGCTGTGACCCTGCCCCAGGGCGGGGGCTACTCCTGCCGGGACCCGGTGCCTGGCCAGGAAGGATGTACACGATGGAGCAAGTGCCACTGAGGGGGCAGGGAGTAAGCAAATGAATGCTCAGTATTTCACCTCTTTTCTACCCAGACACTATTCTCCGATAGGTCCTTTCATCCATTCCCTTTCCTCTCCCTTGTGCCTTCCTGAGGGCAGGTTCCAGGAAAGCCAGAGGGGGGTCAGGGAAGGCCTGGCCACTGGTGGGCAGGTCCCTTGCCCTCCTCACACCTGCTAAGGGGTCTGACAGGGTCCCACCAGCACAAACCCGGGTAGCCAGGCAGGCAGGGGACAAGCTAAGGCCAGCAAGACCTTGGATACCTGGCCTGTGCAATCAGGTGGGCCCCAGTTCCCACTACCCAGGTAGCCTGCCCGGGGCTGCAGACCTGAAAACTTCCACTGGGTGGCGCCCGATCACCACCACCGATGCCCAGCCATGAAGGTCTCCCAGGGCTGTGAGGCGAGGCAGGCCTCCTGGGGCGGCTGGACACCCAGCCATCAGTCTTGCCCACAACAGGGCAGAGCGAGCGGGGACACACTGCTGGTTTCCATGAAGATTGGGTCTGCCCCTTCCGCCCCGCGCCCCCTTCCCCCCAACATTCTAATCTTCCTGATGAGCTTGTTCAAAGAGAGGCAGCTATCAAGTAGCAGAAAAGAACACAAGAGGGGGGGGGGCGGGGGGGGGCGGGGGAAGGGGGTTTGAACGAGCTACTTGGTGCACCCCCACCCTGCATTGCAAATAGCCACGTGTTCACTTGCCCATTCATTCATCAAATATTGAGTCGTAACTGTTATTGATGATAACTGACAGCCTGGGTGGGGAGTCACCACCATGCAGGCTGGGGAGAGCTGGATGGACTTGGTAGCACCCTCTCCCAGTGCCTCCATGTCCTATTCCCAGGCCTGGCCTCTAGGCCCCTGTATCCACAGGAGACGCCAGCCTGCAGCTCATGAAGCCTTCCCCAGCCTGGGGGACAATGCTCTGTCTCGCAGCCTGGGCACCTGGGCACCGAGCGTGCTTGCCCCCTCCATGCACTGCATGACTTCTCCTTATCACCTGGATGATCTTTCCACTGCCAACGTCACCCTCCCGAAGAACCCACGCTATGCCACGTGTCGGAGCAGACGCAGCCTGCCTATGCCGGGTCCCCGGGGCTCACCTTCCCTGCATCCCCAGCACCGGTACCCTAACTTCTTCTTAAAAAAATAATGCTCACCGAAACTGGTTTGACTCAGTGGATAGAGCATCGGCCTGTGGACTGAAAGGTCCCAGGTTTGATTCTGGTCAAGGGCATGTACCTTGGTTGCGGGCACATAACCAGTGGGGAGTGTGCAAAAGGCAGCTGATCAATGTTTCTTTCTCATTGATGTTTTTAACTCTCTTTCCCTCTCTCTTCCTGTCTGTAAAAAAAAAAAAATTAAATATATTAAAAAAAAAATAATGCTCATTCTATCTCATTCTATCTATCAATACCTCCTATAAAAGCAAAATGTGTTCATTTCAGGAAATTTGAAAAAGAATGGAAAGCATAGAGACAATAAAAATCACCAATACCAAGGCTTCCCCACCTTGGCCACCATTCACCCTTTCAAACCGGAATCGTCTTTTCATGACAAGGACTGTCCGGTGCACTGCGGGATGGTCAGTAATACCACTGACTCCTCCTAAGTAGAAGCCAGCAACACCGCTGCCCTGGCTCAGACAACCACAATGTTGCCAAACGTCCCCCGATTGGGAACTACAGTCTCAGACGCAGTCGAACCGCAATCCAGGTCTGGTTTGTTTTTCCTCCAGCTGTTTCTCTCTCACTTGTAGATTTCCTACCCGTAGGAGACCGACTGGACATGCAGTTTGGGCTCTGCTTTCCCCACTCAATATTATGTTCCCAGCATCTTCCTAAGCCCTTGTTTCCTTGGTTAGGATATGCTTTACTGATGGCAGGACGGCACTGGCAGGCAGGCTGCCCGGTGCCATAATCCCTCCCTCCCGGGCCTGGAGCTGGACGGTGATGGGACCCAATGCCGCTGTGCTGTGCACGCTGCTGGAGTGAACGCTCACAAGTCCCTCCAACAGGGGACTCGGAAAGGGAGGCTCCGGGATCAGAGGCCTGACGCTCACGTAGCCAGACGGCTTTTGAGAGGCTGTCATCAGGACATGTTAAGCGGCTGAGCAATCACTCTGCCGTGTTTCGGGGTGAGAGAGCCATGTCCCGGGAGGGAGGGGAGAATGATGGGGCTCGTTTCCAATGTTCTTCCTGAAGACGCCCGGGGAAGCCCCAACTTTTCCAGCGGCTGAGAAGCCCCAGCAGGATTTAGGCTGCCGTCTCCAGAACATACGCCTCAGGCAGCTGGTAAATGAGCTTCATGTCAGACAGACAGAGGCTGCGAGGAAGGCCGCCTGGGGCTCAGCAGAAGTGACATGATGTGTGCCATAAGCAGGGGTGTGGGACACACACACACACACACACACACACACACACACACACGTGTGTGCATCGTCGTCGATGCCTAGATCCTTGCTGCCTGAGGTGTTCCCCGACCGGCAGCAGCATTTGGGTGCCAGCTGAAAATGCAGAACCTCGGCCTCCTTCCTGGACCTCCTGAGCCATAATCTGCATTCTAACAACAAGCTCAGGTGTTTCTTGAGTCCATCCTATATAACAAAAGCCTAATATGCTAAGTGTCCGGTCATCTGTTCAACCAATCAAAGCATAATATGCTAATGATATGCTAAAACTGCTCAACTGCTTGCTATGACGTGCACTCACCACCAGGGAGCAGTTGCCTCAACCAGTAGGTTAGCTTGCTGCTGGGGTCCAGCAGATCAGGATTGAGCAAGATGGTCTGGAGATGCCATGGAGCCATCCCACAGTCCCTCCCCGGCTGGCCAACCTCCCCGGCTCTCCCTGGCCCTGACTGTGCACTAGAGGGGTCCCTCAGCCTGGCCTGCACCCTCTTGCAATCCGGGACTCCTCGGGAGATGTTGGAGAGCCAGTTTCAGCCTGATCTAACAGGCCAGGCTGAGGGACCCTAGTGGTACACAAATTTGCTCACCAGGCCTCTAGTCTATATATATCTGGCCAGCAACCAGAACACTGTAATGACCAGAAGGACTGGTTACTATGACACCCACTGTGGCCAGAGAACCGGCCAATCAGGGGGTAGGGCCAACTGGTCAACCTCCTGAAATCCCCTTCCCCCCTGGCCTGCCCCGCCCCGATGGGCCCCCACCACCCCAATCTACCTGCAGCCCCTCCCCCAGGCTGGCCCCTGCCCTGATCACGCCCCGCCCCAATAGGGGGCAGGGATGGCTGGCCCACCTGCAGCCTCCTCTTCCTCCCTTGCCACTGATTAGGGGTGGGGCTGGCTGGTCAATCTCCCATGGCTCTTCCCTCAGGCCACTGGCCCCCGATCGGCCCCCCACCCCATTTGAGGGCAGGGATGGCTGTCCCACCGCCCATAGCCCCTCTCCACGGCCGGCCCCACCCCCGATCAGCTCCCATCACCCCGATAGGAGGCAGGGCCCAGCAGCCAATCACCTGTGGCCCTTCTCCCCAGCTGGCCTGGCCCTGATCAGGCCCCAATTGGGGTGAGCAGGCCGGCCAACCTCCCGCTCTCCCCTCCTCCCAACAGGCCCTGCCCCAATCTGCCCCAATTGGGGCTGGGCGGGCTGGACCCCCCCTGTGTACAAGTTTGTGCACTGGGCCTCTAGTCCTGATATAAGAAGCCTGAGCCCATGGGAATGCCCAGGTTCATTCCCGGAGTTTTCACTGAACTGAACCTGAGCCCAGCACTCCACCTCCTAGGACAACAATTGAATTACGTTTCTGGAAATGAGTGCTCTCGCCTGCATTAAAGCTAAGTGCCACATCTTAGCTGGCTGCAGTTACCCCCACTCCTTTTTTCCATGATTGGCAGGTACCACTGACTGTTGTTGATAGTACGCAGCTGTTGTTATCATCATCATCATTATCACCACCACCCTCGGGGCCTGGCACTGTAAATCCTGGAAAGGTCGGATGAGCTTGGAGGCTTCAAAGAGGACATCCAGATAATTTCTGAACAGACTGGACAATTAAGACAAGTCCCCAGTTCCTTCACCACAGCCTCCTGCAGCCGGGAGCCAAAGGGCTTGGCCCCGAGGTCCAGTCTGACCTCTAGTGACCATGGCCACCCCCAGGTGTCACTCAACCACCTGTGACCTCCCTGTGACACGGGAACCGTGCTGCCACCGCCCTCGTGCGGTCACACACATGTCGATGGAGATGAGGAATGCAAAGGCAGCCTGGGAATCTAAAACACACTCCCGTTCCTTCCACCCCGTGCTGTCTCTGGGCTAGATTAGTCAGTGTCTACTGCATCTTACAGAATTCCATGTGGGGACGCCTGGGGGAAGGAGGGGATGTTGAAAAGGACAATGGCCCGGCCCTCTCCAAATCTTTCAAATCAGGGAAAATCTTCACTCGCTCACAGGAGCCCAGACAGCAGGACAGAACCACTGCCCTCGCAACAGTTACAATCCCACCACCAAACCACCCCAGTTTCCAGCACCAACTGCCCGCGGCTGCCTGCTCTCCCCCAAGCGTGGTGACGGGGGTGACCAGGTGGACCAACGACTTTCTCTTCAGGGTGGACGTGGACCGTGTGCAGCCACCTCACCCCCTGATGCACCCCTCTTCCCGACACCTCCCTGGCCCTGCACCAGCACCTGCCCCTCCCTCCCACCGCAGGACCCCTTACCTGGGGATCGGCGGCGGACTTTCGGACACTCATGTGGGCAGTCTCAGGAGGGTGTGCTGGGGTCCCTGAGGCGTGGTATCCATTCACTGTGGGGACAGAAACACGGCTCAATGCGGTGCTGGCCACAGACTTCCCGCCATTGCTGCCCCTTCTCCCGCCTCTGGGCCCGGCGCTGGGAGGGCTGTCCCAGGGCCTCACCCGCATTCCCAGAGCTGGAGAAGGGGTGCGGGCATCTCTCACCCCCCTCCCTCCCTGGACTCAATGACTGAACTCGTGGGGGAACATGCTTCTTTTTGAAGGAATGTGCTTGGAAGAGCTGAGGCCACATCATCCAATGGCCATCTCTGGAAATGCCATTGGCTGTGGTCACTGGTGCTGGGCAAGGGCCCACTCTCTCTCTCTCTCTCTCTCTCTCCAGGGTCAGGAGACCCCCAGCACCGTCCAGGAGTTGCTCTGTGACAAACTTCGCTCTGAGAAGCCCCCTTTCTTGCGGCCACAGTGCATGTGAGGAGTGTGTTTACTGGTTTCCATGACAACTGCTTTGCCAATTAATAGCTAGGTGATCTTTTTTATTTTATTTTAAATATATTTTATTGACATTTTACAGAGAAGAAGAGAGAGGGATAGAGAGTTAGAAACATCGATGAGAGAGAATCATCAATCAGCTGCCTCTTGCACACCTCCTACTGGGGATGTGACCAAAGCTAAGGTACATGCCCTTGACTGGAATCGAACCCGGGACCTTTCAGTCTTCAGGCTGATGCTCTATCCATTGAGTCAAACTGGTTTCGGCTAGCCAGGTGATTTTGACATCCTCCTTAAGTTGCTTTTCCAAAAATTAAACACACACACACAGTGGAGTGGCTCAGAAAGCAACAAGATATAAATTAACCCCTCATGGGCAGCGCACTCCCCTCAGGCAGCTGGTCAACTGCTGGTACTACTCAGGAGTCCCCCAGATAAGGGGGGGCAGGGTTCCAAGAGCTTCAGAGACTGTCCGGGGAGGTGGCGTGAGGACCACCTCCTCATAGAGGCATAAGCTGTGCCCCGAGGGCATTGGGCTGATGTTAAATGCCACGAAAGGGGAAGGCTTGGCCTTTGGGAAGGTTACTGACCAGGCAGCACAGCGCTGAGTTGGAAAAACACAAATGCTGGAGACGGGGGCATCAGCAGGAAGCCCAGCGCCCGGCTCTCACCCATGACCCAGCGGGCAGAGCTCAGATGTGGAAAATCTCGGTAACTTAATTTCAAAGGCTGATTGAATTGGGTGTATGAAACATAATACCCTACACACAATGATAACATCTCTGCCAAGAAGCCATGGAACATTAAAATAAAAATTGTGCATATTTAAGCCACAAATAAAGTATCAATAAATTGCAAGAGGCGTAAATAACTCAAGCCACACTCTTTGAGCAGAAAGTAATAAAAGTAGATGTTAATAACAAAAGAGCAAATATACAAGTTCCCATCCCCTCAGCTCTCAGAGGCTTAGAAAGGTAAGAAAATGCCCTGTTAAATAATCTGAGGGCAATGAAGAATTTAAAAGGATAAGCTCACAATATTTAGAAGATAACGAGGAAGAACATATCGGAAACAAATGGGACGAGGTCTGAATTGAATATCTATAGCCTTCCTTATTTCATTATCAAAGCCAAGGGCAAATAAAAACAAATGAAATGAACATTCGGTTTACAAACCTAGAGAAGATTCCAAAGCCAAGGAAATACAGGAAAGGAAAGCAGGAGAAAGAGGTGGAAACAGGGCGACAGGAATGCCTGCGCTCGGGAGGCAGGATGGCAGGAAGGACCTGCTGGTCCTCTCTCTGTGTTGGGGGGGCAAGGTCACAACAATGAAAAATGCAGACCAGCTTTGAAACTGAGAGGGAAAGAGACCGAGCAGAGAATTAGAAAGACAACAAGCACAGCTCACATAGCAGAGATACGCTCTTTAATGCAACAGCATTTGATTTATAATTCCGTGTAATAAACACAGAATCTTCCCTAAGGTTCACATGAGCCACATGGTTTCAGAGGACACCAGGCATGAAAATGGGTAAAATCTTTGAAAAGGGGCCGCCCTCCCAAAGGCACTGGGCCCAGATGGTTGTATGGGCAAACTCCTCCTAACTCTTGGGCACCACATATCTTGTAGGAACATGCGGTCCGTTTCCCAGTTTACACACAATGCCAGCATCACCTGATCCCAAAATCTAGCAAAAGCAACAACAAACAGAACCACACTCAGTCTGACTAACGACAGAGTCTGGAAGCTCTCACCGGAGCAGGCCTTTGTTTCCGGTCAGCCAAGAACTCTGAGAGTGTGGGATCCCTGTACACAAAGGTTGTCTCCAAGCTCTTGAGGGCAGAGGCTGCCCCCCTGATTTCATGGACTCCCTTCACTGCACCCTCACCCACCGCTCTCTCTCCCTCTTCCAGGCCCCCAGGCTCCCAGTCCTGCCGCTCATGGCACCTGGCACCCAGGAGCTGTCTGACGCAGGACATTCTGCCTCTAATCCAGTCTCTTGTTCTCACTTCAGTTCTGGCCTGTCAGCTGTTGGCTAATTGCTGCTCATGTCAAAACAATTACTGGGGAAGAAAACATAATTTTCCATTCAACCACTTGTCTGCAGACAGCGGCCGGCCCTCCTCGGACACTCTGTCCCGCTGCGCTGCGCTCTCCGTCCCCGGCACACGAGGACAGTGACAGCGGGGACCTGAGCCGCATGGCCCGCCCGCAGCACCCTGCAGTGGGGTTCCCCGTCCTCCAGGCTCCCCACTTACCAAGGGCCTACACACCAAACCCATGAGCCCAGAGGTGGGTGCCTCTGAGGCCTCCGGCTTCAGGGGGAGGCAGGGGCTTCAATAAAATTGACCAAGGACCAGGATCACTCATAACCATAAGGAGCATAAATTAGTTTGGGGATGCAAGAAAAACAACATGCCAGATGAGCTGTTTTGCAGAGAAGAGGGAACAGAAAGCTCTATCGAGTAACTTCAGATACAAACAGAAACGCTCACAAGCACGCATTCCTGCCTGTGCTGCTGCGCGGGCAGCAGCACAGGCAGGCAGGGAGGGGGCCTGGGAGACGCAGGAGGCGGGCGGATACTTGGTAGAAAGGAGAAGGAGGCATTTGTGCAGAGGTGGGGGGGCCCCCCCCACAAGGAGGGAAGTGGTTAAAAGTGGAAAAGGAACACAGAAAGGGTTGTGAAGAGACACACAGCAACAGAAGAGCCTGCAACTCCTGCTGCCCGGGATCCACGGCGCAACAGCTCACCCTGAGACCCACCGCCCAGGTCTCTGCTCCCTACAGCACCCCTTTTCCAAACGAGGTGTCATCCCGGACACCCCCTCTCTCCTTTAGGTCTGGCCCAGTCTCCCTTCTCTCTGGAATAAAGACAGGCACTTCTTTCCTCAAGGCTATGACCCCTGGGCGCCCAGGGCCTTGTTCCTGAATCTGTCCCCTCCACCCGCCCTCCATCCCACATCCAACCCGGTGGAATACCACGTTCCCCGCCAGTGCCACAAGGCCCCGGTTCTGCAGGGTGAAGGGAAAGGTCCATAGAGTTTGGACAAGTGCCTCCCCTATTCAGATTTAAAGTGGTCTGTTCACAGCAGGCCTTTAAAAATCCACAGATGTGCCAAAACCAGTTTGGCTCAGTGGATAGAGCATCGGCCTGCGGACTCAAGGGTCCAGGGTTCAATTCCGGTCAAGGGCATGGACCTGGGTTGTGGGCACATCTCCAGTGGGGGGTGTGCAGTAGGCAGCTGATCGATGTTTCTCTCTCATCGATGTTTCTAACTCTCTATCCCTCTCTCTTCCTCTCTGAGAAAATTAATAAAATATGTATTTTAAAAAAAATCCACAGATGTATTCTGTGAATCTCAAACAAGACAACAGCTGGCAGTATTCCTGCACTTATAGGAAAGCAGCCCCTGAATTGGGCAGAATGCCGTGGAACCCACTTTGGGAACCACAGGGGTGGCTGTCGAAGGCAGGGTCTGAAGCCAGGCAAACGCGGTAGCCAGTGTGTGCTCAGCATCCCTGAAGGCACGGTCCCTGCCCCCGACTCCCCAGCCACCGCCATCACCAGGCCCAGGAAGGCCCTGGAAGTTGCCCTTCCAGCATCACGCTCACCGCCTTGGGTGCGTGCAGCGTCTGCCCCGTCTGTTTGGAGGAGCGGTGTTACAACCGTGGCCTCTGGTCTGGGAAGACCTGTCTGGCCGCCGGGTCCTCATCGTCTCCTCTGGTTGTCTGAGATGTAAACGGTACTCCCCACCATAGAACTCATGATACACGTGCCCAGTGGTTGTGAATGGGGAAAGACTGGGGTTTCTTCCATGCCATCGAAGACGAAGCAGGCCTTGGGGAGTCCCCTGGGGCCCTGGTGACGGGGACACTGTTGCTAAAGGGACATGCAAGCCTCTTCCAAGCGGGGGTGGGGGTAGGTTGGAGGTGCCATCGCCTCCCCTGAAGTCAGTGGTGCAGTCTGGCCGAGGGCCTAGCTAATTCTGCAATGAGTGAAGGCCGGCTTGGCTCCCTGCAGAGCGGCATGCCTTCAGGCTTCCTCAGCTGCAGAAGCAAATGTGGCGGGGAGGAGGGGGGCTGGACTCTGAAGCTCCCTTCCCAGGATCCTCTGCTCAGGAGAAGCACCCCCTCCTGGTGGCTCCACAGGTTCCGAGGCCGGCCTCCCTGATCCTCAGTGAAACCCAGCTTTGACCTGGCTTCCGGGGATGCTGTTTCCCCAGGACCCTTGTTAGCAAATTGCGGCTCGCTAGCCACATGCGGCTCTTTGGCCCCTTGAGTGTGGCTCTTTCACAAAATATCAGTTCTAGCCTCTTGGATGGGCTCTCTTCCCTTCCACCCCAGACGGGATGGAGGGCTGGGTGGGTTCACGCCCGGGGAGAGAGCACCACAGACCACACCCTGGAGGCCTGGGTGGACCCAGTCCTGCTCTTTCCCTGGGCCCTCTTCTTATGCAGGAGCACGGCGGAGCCTGGCCAGGAGATGCAAGGTGTTCACTTTCCAAGTCTGAGCGGGCACTGCCGGTCAGAGGCACCCTCATGGTAAGAGCCCTAAGAAAGGAGAAGGATGCTTCCAATGAAACCACAGCCACCACTGACTGCAGGACGCACCTGACCTCCAACATGCAGGACGGGGCAAAAGGAGGTGGACAGCTGTTCATGTGGAAAATCCTATACAATAAAAGCCTAATATGCTAAGTGTCTGATCATCCGTTCAACCAATCAAAGCATAATATGCTAAATGGTAAGCCAAGGCTGCTCAACTGCTCACTATGACATGCACTGACCACCAGGGGGCAGACGCTCCAACCGGTAGGTTCACTTGCTGCTGGGATCCTTCTAATCCAGTGGTCGGCAAACTCATTAGTCAACAGAGCCAAATATCAACAGTACAATGATTGAAATTTCTTTTGAGAGCTGAAAAGCGACTCCTGTGCATGGGCCATGAAGTTTCAATCACTCTGTACATGCGTGCGTGCCTGCAATGTGGTATTTTGTGAAAGAGCCACACTCAAGGGGCCAAAGAGCTGCATGTGGCTTGTGAGCTTCAGTTTGCTGACCGCTGGACTAATTGATCAGAACTGAGCTAGATGGGCAGCTGGACATGCCCTGGAGCTTCCCCGTGGTTCCTTCCGGGCTGGCCAACCTCCCGCGTCCCTCCTGGCCCCATCGTGCACTGGTGGGGTCCCTTGGCCTGGCCTGCACCCTCTGGCAATACGGGACCACTGGATGTTGGAGAACCAATTTCAGCCTGATTCCCCAGGCTAGGCCGAGGGACTCAACTAGGGCACAAATTCATGCACTGGGCCTCTAGTAGTTCAATAATTATAAATAATAATGCAAGAATCAACTTTGTGTTTCATATGCTCACAACCGCTATCCTACTCTTACCTGACCCTGTATTGGAATGTGGGGGGAAAACAAAAGATGGGTCTCAGGTCAAGGGACTGGGATTCAGCGGGTTTTGCACTGCTTCTCACGGCAATAGCTGTGGTCTGTCACCCAGTGACCCTGAGCGGCACTGACCCAAAGTTCTGGGTGGCCCTGGGCCAGAGCTCCCAACCTGGCACTACTAACATTCGGGGTGGATATGCTCTGTGCTGGAGCTGTGCAGCCTGAGCATTGTGGGTGGTAGCAGCATCCCTGACCTCACCCACCGGTGCCTGTAGCACCTCCTGAATGGTGACTGCCAAAGTGACGGACATCGCCCATGTCCCCTGATCGGCAGAAACTCCCCGAGCTGAGAGTCACTGCACTAGAGCCTGAGAAGTCTAACAGGCAAGGACAGTGTCTCCCTCATCGTGGCTCCAACTCTCCAAAAATGCTAGGTAGGAAGTTCCAGAAAGAAACAGTGCCTAGTTTTAAATTGCTTGCCATGCTGAGTAGCTTGATGAAATCTTGCACCATCCTGCTCTGTGACCGTCCCGTTGTGCAGAGTCTTCACGTGGTCTGTGCTCCCGTGTTTGTCACTCAGTGCTCGGTTCTCAGATGGGCTATGTTCCAGGCCCCTCATCTGACAGACAACGCGGCATTCATGCAACTTTTATAACGGTCCGCTTTCATAACTTTCTGTTGCTTTTAGTTTTGTTGTTAATCTCTTACTGTGCCTAATTTACAAATTGAACGTTATCACAGGTATGTAGGTGTGTACGTGTAGAAAAAAACCCCCCAGTATATACAGGGTTTGGTACTATATGCAACTTCCGGTATCCACCGGAAGGGGTCGGGGGAGCATACCCCTCACAGACAGAGGGAGCTGCCGTGTGCATTGCCAACAAGCAAAGAGCAGAAGCCCATTAGAGGGGCGTCTCCTCCCAGGTCTTCTGAGCCCTCAGGACGCTGCCGGGCACGTGAGTTTCCAAAGGGGAGTGAAGAGGTTACCAGCTGTCTGTGGTGGCAAGGCCCTTGTGGGCAGAGGACCTGATAGACTGGCACTGCCCCGACTTCCCCTGGAGGCAAAGTCGGCATCTGCACACGCAGTCTGACACCTTGGTCACCTGGCCAGTTCTCCTCCCTGAGTCCGACCCTCTCCGCTCTCTCCATCGTTCCCGGCCACACTGGGAGCTGTAGCACCCAGCCCAGAGGTGGGCAGACTGGGTTCTCGCTGAGTTTGTCAGGTGAAGGCAGGAACCTGTCCCACCCAGCCTTTGGACCAGGGGATCTGAGCCAACCACCAGCTCCCTGCCCCGCCCACATCCTCCTTCTGGGAAACGAAGCCACGAACAGTAGGACAGGAACAGCAGCAGGACAGCAGCTGAAGAGGACAAGTCCCCTGACCAGCTCCGCCAGCACAGCAGGCCTCTCCGTGCCCAGGCTCCCCTGTCTGTGTCCCCGTCCTGCCTGCATGGACCACTCTGGGTTCTTTTCTCGTATCTGGCTGGCCTGGAACCCGCTAGGATTGAGGGCCAACTCCCTCCCTGCGCACCTGAGTTGGGTGAGGTGAGCTATCAGGCGGCTGCTGGTGCCAGCAGGGCAATACCACCCGGTGGAGCAACAGGCTTGAAGGGCCTCCTTTCCCTCCAGGCCCCTCCCTGGGTTTGGTTCTTAAGATCGCTCGTCAGGTTTCAGACCCCCGGATCCAAAGTCTTGACCTTCCCAATCTTGACCCCAAAGCAGTAAGGGTGCACAGTACCTGTGGGAGGCAGAGGGCTCCTGTGAGTGCCAGGGCTGGCCGGGATCCCAGAACTGCTGGGGCGCTCCCAGGTGGTCTCTGGTGGGAGAAAGAAACAAAGTCGCTTTCAGAATTTCACAAGGTAGACCCTGAGAGGGTGACAGAGCAGAATGGGGCAATCAGAGCTGAAAAAAATAGTCCTGGCCAGTCGCCTTCCTCCGTAAACCCAGGGACCAGGAGCTTGCTTTGGGTGGCCACACCCTTCCCACCTGCCATGACAACAGAATTCTCTTTGCCGGGGACCCTTTCCACAGCTGGGACTAGAAGAAGAAGGCTTTCCAGCTGGGATCCTCTGAAAGGTTCCCCCAGGGTCCTCCCTTTCTCTTCTAGAGGCTGCCCACTCATGGGCCTCCCCTGGTCCTGGAACCCTTGCTGCCAATTGGGCATTCCCCCCAAATGCCATTGTCACATGAAACCACACAGCACAGAGGAAAGAGCCCTGGCCTGGGGGTCTGCACAGGGCATGGTCCTCTGTCAAAGGGGGTGATTCCCGCCCTACGTCTTGTTTGCATTATAATTGCTGGCCAGGCTGGTCTCCCTTCCGGTGGCCAGCTGCTCGGTCCAGCCAGAAGCAAAGCCGTGGCTGCATCTATGTTATCTTCCCCCGAACGCTACTTTGCCCATTTCACCACTACGAACAGGCTTCTGATAAAGTTATCTCGTGACAAAGAATAAAACATTCTTACCATGTGACACTGGGTGCAGTAGAAAACCACTAAGAAGAAATATCACCCGTCGCCCTACCACTCGGAGGCCAGCACAACGCTTTGGAATCTATATGTCGATTTGTTCCTTTGAAACAGAACAGAAGCACACTGCACGCTCTTTTCACGAATAGGCTTTTGTGAGTATCTTTCCAAAGTCAGGTCGTCCAGAGGTCAGGACCTGCTCACAGTCGGGGGTCTAGCCTCCTCTCCTCCACACTGCTGCGTCTGAATCCCAGCTCTGCCTCTCACCACCAGTGCAAGCCTGGCCAAGCTAACGGTCCTGTCAGAGCCTCAGTTTGCTCCTCTGTAAATGAGGCCAATGATGGTCTCTACCCAAGACAGTCCTTGTATTCAGGCCACAGGCCCATATACTAGTGCGCAGCATCCAGTTGTTTGTAAACTTAGCCCAATGACCTTGGCCGGGTTGCCCCATTGGTTGGAGCATTGCCCAATACACCAAAAGGTCACAGGTTCATTCTCTGGTTAGGGTGTGTACGGGAGGCAACCGAAAGATGTTTCTCTCTCCCTCTCCCTTCCTCTCTCTCTAAGTATCCTATATAATAAAAGCCTAATAAGCTAAGTGTTCAGTTGTCCAGTCAGCCATTCAAACCAATCAAAGCATAATATCCTAATATATGCTAAGGGTACTCAACCACTGGCTATGATGTGCACTGACCACCAGAGGGCAGCTGCTGGGTTCTGGCAGATCAGGGCTGAATGAGAGGGCAGGACATGCCCTGGAGCCCTCCCTTAGTCCCTCCCTGGCTGGCCAACCTCCCTGTCCCTCCCCAGCACATACTGTGCTCTGTTGGGGTCCCTTGGTCTGGCCTGCACCCTCTCACAATCCAGGCTGAGGGACCCCCCCCCCCACCCGAGTGCACAAATTTCGTGCTCCAGACCTCTAATATATTGATATTTTAAAAAAAATGATAGTATCATGACCAATAGAATGTAACTGAAGAAAGAGGAGGGAGTTTGCCTTGTCAAAGGCGCTGGAGTGTCTCTGGTGCCAAGAACAGTGTCAGATACAGAGTAGGCCCTCAAATATACTAATAATATATCCATATGTAAAATCACCTAGAAAAAAAAAAGGGTAAAATGCTAATTAGACCAGAAGACCTCCCAACAAAGCTAGGGCTGCAAGGGAAGCCTGGGTTCCAGGTGCCTGCTGGCAGCCAGAGGGAAGCCCCGGTCCCAGGTGCCTGCAGGCAGCCAGAGGGAAGCCAGGGTCCCAGGTGCCGGAAGGAAGCTGGTGCTGGCATCCAGAGGAAGGGAGGCCTACTCTTGCATGAATTTCGTGCAATGGGCCTCTAGCCAATCAATAAAAACATATCGTTGGATGAGGATTCAAAAAGATTAAAAAAAAAAGAAAAGTGAGTCCAATGTATGAATATAACTTTAGTTTTAAAAAAATTCCTAATCCTGAAAATGCAATTGTCTCGAAATTAAAAATAAAAACAAATAAAAAACTCTTTCAATGACTTTTCTCCATCGAGATTCCAAAAAACTGGGCTTTTGCCTCAGCTCTGCTGTGCTGCCCAAGGCAATGCACTCTGCCTCTCTGGTCCTCCAATTCTTAACCCAAAAAGAAGAGGCTGGGATACCTGGTCTTTTAGTCCTCAGTCCTCCTGCCCTGTAGCTTTGATTGGTGATCTTAAAATCTGAAGACCCATGTGCTGACTGGCTCTCAGACACCAAGACTTGGAGACTCCAGCAGGGCTTTCGCAGGGACAATGCAGATGCCTGCAGGATCTGTCCTTGCCCATCCTCGTCTTGGCCGGCTCTGACCAAACACAAAGTCACGGGGAGCCTGGGGCAGGAGTGGGGCCGGGCCAAGTGGACATCTGGAGAGACCACCAGATGTCCACTCTGGCTGTGTGACCTCAGCAGTAGCAGGAAAAGTCACCCCAGATGACCGTACCACCCACAGGGAGGGAGCCACTTCCAGGTCTTTTGCAATAAAAGACTCGCTAATCCATTTACAGCACGCCAGGCCCCTTGACCAAGCCAAAGCAAATCTGCGTGGCAGCTCGGGCCCATGTCACTCTGAACTGAAGCCCTTTTGCATTCTCTGGGGTCCCATTCCCAGGGTTCCAGATGGCCATCCAGACTCCTAACAGAGTCACTGCCATGGAGGTCCCAGAGGCTCTCAGGCACGGTACAGTCAGAATGGAAGAAGTGACTTTCTCTCAGAGACTCCCGTCCAACCCAAGTCACAAGAACGCATTTTTTCCTAAAGGCAACTCCAACTCCATGCAGGCCTCTCCCACAGTCACTAGGGGCGCCCAGCGCACACGCGCGCGCACACACACACACACACACACACACACACACACTGACTGCGGTTCAGACCAGCCCCAGGGAGGCTGCCACTCCAGCCCTCAAGGCCACCAGCCAGAAATGGTCACGTCCCCTCAGCCGGGTGTCATTTTCCTCTCAGTGGCTGCTCCGTGTAGAATAGAACTTTTAAAGAGAAAGTACACCTGAACAGTGGAAAGTGATGTCAATGTCAGACCACAGATGTGCCCCTCTTAAGATAACAACAATAATAACTCTAACAATGAAAAGTGCATTGAGGTAGAAGTTACTCATTTTCCACAGTCACTTCTGGTTTTCGTTTCCCCTCCTCAAGACTGAGTCCTGCTTACACTAGAGGCACTGGCTTCCAATGGGAAAGCCACAACCAGCCCCTGGGCCCAGGACACTGATCATGGTGATTTGCCTTAGGCCCACCTTTGAGCCATGCCTTACTCACCTAATCCCCCCACCCAAAGGCCAGTGGATTCTTGCTCCTGATTGGTCCATTTCCTTGGTCATGGGGTGGCTCTCTGCTGCCCTCAGTGGCTATCAGGTGAAATAACCCTAGGTACCAGCCTAGGGGGGATTCAGCTTTCTGGTATTGGCTGGAACCTGGGATTCCAGTAGTCTCTTCCCCTTTGCCTCTTTTAGACTCCTCTTTCTGGGGTTCTCACCTTCTCTGCTCCCCCACCTCTTGTTTCTTCCTCTTCCTTGTTTGGTGATGACCCCAACCGTGGCTTCTTTACTGGCACCTGTTTTCCTAGATTGATGGTAGCCCCACTGCCCCCTTCTCCAGCCCTGTCCCTCCTCATCTGGAAGCTCGATTTCAGAGCACTGCCATGTCCTCTACCCCAACCGGAAAGGCGAGTCCCAGGAGAACGACAGGAGCCCTGTGTCCTGGTCCAGGGAGGCCAGCCCTCTGAGAATGCCGGGCGCAGGGAGCCGTGGGTGCCATGAGCACCCAGAGGGCCTGCACAGCTGTCCCAGGACACTCAGCACTTCCTTGGTCCTGGCTTTGTAATCACCTTACCATTAGGGGGCTCTGGCTAATTTCTCAGTTAACCCCTTCATAAAGTTAAATGAGAAACTACTACTCCCCGAGCCTCCATCTGTGCCGGGTCCCCCACATCGCCTGTCTCCTTCAGAGGTCACAAAACACTGTGAAATGGGTGCTACAGTGACTGTTTTTTTTTGGAAGAAACTGAGGCCTCAGCAGCAAAAGCAGAGCTGGGACTCAGTCTGACAGCAAAGTCTGCCATGTGAGCCACACCAACACCTCTGAGCTCTGAGCGGGGCTCTGAGTTGGGCTCCGGGAGCTGCGGCCAAACTGGGCTGTTTGAGTCCATACAGCACTCTCTATTGGAGAACCACCAATAAATTAGTATAATTATGTTAATTCAGTATAATATGATATTTATTATAAACCTTAGGAATCTTTACAATGTAAATGATACATTTTAATATAAGTTATATTATTGATTATAACATTATTAATATACTAGAGGCCTGATGCACGAAATTCGTGCAAGAGTAGACCTTCCTTCCCCTGGCTTCCCTCCAGCACCTGGGACCCGGGCTTCTCTCACAGCCCCAGCTTCCTCAGGAGGGCACACACCAATATCTCTTACATCATCGAGGGCTTGACTGGGGCTGGAGGCGCCACTTCCAGGCTGCTCCCTAGCCGCCAGCAGGAGCCAAAGTTTTGCGCACGCGCGCACACACACACACACACTTATTACCTGTCTCAGGAAGGATATCTGGTCTAATTAGCATGTTACACTTCTATTATTATAGATGATTTTACATATGGATACATTATTAGTATATTTGAGGGCCTACTCTGTGTCTGGCACTGTGCTTGGCACTGGAAACACTGCAGGGCCTTTGACAGGGCAAACTCCCTCCTCCTTCTTCAGTTACATTCTAATGGTCATGATATTATTGTACTTTTTAATATCAATATACTAGAGGCCCCATATACAAAATTCATACACTTGGGTGAAGGGGGGGACTTAGTCCAGATTGTGAGAGGGT